TAGGCTATATAAGTATCAACAAAAGTTACTCAGGGCATGTATTTTCACCTGGCGCTCGCGAACATAAATCGTTTGCTCAAGGTCGTAACTATGGCAACAGAAGCAATTTCCGATCATTATCATATCGAACATTAACAAAACATAAATAACGTCATTGCGTATGATATAATTATAGATTTAAATATCGCAAATATATCACAAAAAAAACGTTAAGTGTTTCCAAAACTCTTTAAGGCGTTTGAATTGCCAAAGACAATTTCTGGTTGTTGAAGATGCACTTAAACTGATCGCCCCACGAAAATGACCTACAGGAATTCCTTTAAAAATATTGATTCCCCTGAAAGTCATTATAATACGGACACTGTAAACACATAGTAAAACTCCATTATATTGGGCTGCTAAAATAAGCTAGTATGTGGCAAACATTAAATAAATGAAGCCGGTCGAATAATTCGACAAACTCATATTTAACTGCGGGAACTTAAGGGGAAAGTTTGGTTACAGTTGGGCGCACATTTCTGTGCGCTGACTGTAGCCTATTTATTGGTATATAATAAACATATTGAACGTGTAGATTCATTTTAAAAGACTAAAAGAGTACGGAAGGCTGACACCTGTTCTCCAGAAACCGGGCAGCCGAGATTAGTCATCACTACCACAGACCGAAAACAAGTTCAGCCGAATCCGCCGGCGCTCCTCAGATCCGCATCACGGAGCCGAAGCGCTTCACCTGATGTCCATTAACCTACATATTCACCCAAATCCAGCGGCTGATGATCGCTGCGCGCACTTGCGCTAAACTAATGCGAACACTTACCGCTCCACAAATCCAGATCCACACCAAGGTGTCCATGTCTGATATGTCCCTTCCCTCTCAAACTGTAATTCTGTAAGTTTGAGTCGAGAAGTGAAGATCAGCCCTCAGACAGTTCATATTAGCTCCATGTGGGTGCTGCTCTCGTGCGCGGCTGGCGTTTGGGACTTTAGGACTGTATGGAAGCGTGTGCCCCCGCTGATGACCGCTAACTGTCCTGCACTGTCCTGTACTCCGCACTCAGCGTCCAGCAGTGCACTGCGGAGGAGAGAGTCGTGCACGCAGAGATGAGGGGGGCACGAGTGCTTGCCAACTCCCCCCATCAGCACCTCTCTCTCTCTCTCTCTCTCTTTCTAGTATCTCTCTCACTTTATCTCTACGAGAAACGCATATGCAGAAGACTGAAAGAGCTGGTTTGATCTGATCGCATTTAGACTCATTATTTTTTACGTATTGCTTTGCCGTCGCCTACATATGCATGCACGTATATCTATGTGCATAAATATAAATAAATCTCTTATCCAAATAAGCATGAATTGCTAGACATCTCTGTACACTGACGCCGTTCCACACGCTCTGTATTTTAATTATTGAATAAAACGCATTGTTTGAAACAGTAAATCAAATGTATGTGCAAACCAAGCCCTTTAAAATTGAAATGTAAAAAGTAAATAAATTAATAATATAATTGGAGTGAATGAGTGTATTGGGTGTGACGTCACGGGACTGGTGTACTCAAACAGACGCCACAGGAGGGCGACTGCAGCCAGTGAGTCAGCGATGTGACATATGAGGCGTGATAAGTGCCAGGGATGAGAGGTTTTTACGATTTTTTCCTTTTCACCTCCATGCTTCCGATATTTTTTCCACCTGTTCCAGTGTTTATGAAACACATGCATATGCACATGAATGCATGTGTTGTAAATATGGCTCTGAAATTTCCGTGTGTAATTGAGTGTGAGAGGTTTTTACGATTTTTTCCTTTTCACCTCCATGCTTCCGATATTTTTTCCACCTGTTCCAGTGTTTATTAAACACATGCATATGCACATGAATACATGTGTTGTAAATATGGCTCTGAAATTTCCGTGTGTAATTGAGTGCTTTTATAGAAGCAGGTTGGTGCACTGCAAAGATAATTTTCTCAATTATCTAATTTTTTAATTTAGTACATTTTCTTATCATATTGGCAATTTGTTAGCCCTATAAAGCCTTCTGTATCATTTTTGATGCAACATTTTCTGAGGTCTTTAAATTATTAATGTGATCAAAACTTTACTGTGTTGTACACAATCTTGTGCATGCCCTCTGTTGCCTGATAAATAGTTTATACTTATTTTTAGCAAGTAAAAGGCCTTTTAGTGTAATTCTATAAATGCTTAGCATAAAACTTTAAAAAGTCTTGTTACATTTATTTAAGCAGTAAACTTAATTTAAGATATATTCTCTGGGGGGGGTCTTAATAAATTATGCAGTTTTGCTTCTCAGTTTATTTTGAGATCTTTCTGCTTATTTAGAAAAAGAATGTGCTGAGAGTGAAGAGCGATGATCCTATGTGCTGATATAAGCTTTAAAGGTAAACTAGAACTGTAACATCAGCCTACCAATCCATTACAGCCAAGCAAGACCTTTCTTAAAGTGGTCTTCCAATAGTAAGATTTACAGAGACTGCTGACTGGCATCAACTCACATCTTAAGATCCAATGACACTGGGATGGGGCTTCGGAAACTGACCGTCTATTTTATAATTGTTAAAGAGGATTCCAAATATCTGTTTAGCAGTTATGGGAAAACTGCTTTTTATCTTTCAGAGCAATGTTTATATGGCACAAAAACAATGAGGATCTCAATTAGGGTGACATAATTTATATACATTTGAACACATCCATTTATACTACCTCTAGATAACATCATAATTTATATAAACAATGAAACAGTGATGAACAGTGAAATGGTAGTTTCAGAGTTTGCGTTCATTTAGACAGCCTGATGCTTCATTAACTGAACTGTAGGACATGACATGAATTTGAACTGATAATGAATTCAAAAGCAATCTAATTGCATGGTTCATCTTAGTTAGTAGTTAGATTAATACAATCACTTCTGGTGGTTACTCAACTACGATGGACACCTGTCAGTTACAACCAGTGAGGGGATTCAAATGATATAAATGCATGTTACAATGAATCTTTAGCTAAACAATTTGGATTCCAGTCTAACATCATCTTCACTTTTACAATCTGGATAGTAGGTGTTTTGACGTCTAAAGTGTAAGTTACAATAGATCTGCTATCACTGGGATCATGTAGCCCTTCAGAAGCAGTTCTTCATCGATCTGTTAATTTATCAATAATCCACATCCTACATTGTCAAAGAAGACCACCACTACCCCTTTACACACACACACACACACACACACACACACACACACACTTGAATTAACTCACTCTCTGAAATTAAGACATCACAGAAAGAGCTTTGTGATCAATGGATAACAAGCAAGCAGTCAGGAAAGACAGCAAGATCAGCCTCTTTTTTCTGCCAGTGCAATTAATTCAGTCTGGATAATGAATCCCAGTCAGGATAAAATTAAATCTGTCCAGATATATTGATGTTCCTTAGTGTTAGAGACATAAATTAACAATGTAATACTCATAATGCACAGTTTGTATTTGAACAGTTTTTTTATTTATTTTAATTGTCTTTGTATCATCTGTCTCTCTCTATTCTGTTTTAACAATAACACAGGTTAAATGGGTCTGGTATTATGACTGATGTCTTAGTGCAATCAGAATAGACATGCAGTATGTGTTTTATATTGCTCTTTTGTTAGTTTTGACTGCTTTTATTGTCCTCATTTGTAAGTCGCTTTGGATAAAAGCGTCTGCTAAATGACTAAATGTAAATGTAATGTAAATGTTATAGTATTATCCTACTTTATATTTAATGATGTAGCTATTACCATTGATGTCTTGTCTCTTCAAAACCCTATCTCCCCTGAGAAAGGACAAGTATGTCCAGATGGAGACCTATGACTCTCATTATGGCAGATTACATGCACCGCATGCCTATACTGAAAATAGTACACGGCCGTTACATTTGATCTCTGTCAGTAAATATAGATAAACGGCGACATGACTATATGCTATATAAGTATGAATATACGAGTCAGCCATCTATCATGGCTCCAGTATCAACTGACCTGCTTTATCATGAGTCAGCAAAAATAGCAACATTCACAACCCATTTTGCCAACATGTGTTCAATCTAGCATGAAAAAAATAGCATTCTTTAGTTCACTATTTGATCTTCGACCATAGTGTTCATGTATTCATGCATTGCTTGCTTTAATATCATCACTGTCCATTGTCATTGAGTTAATTGACAGCAGAAGCAATAAAACAGAAGATTTTAATTGGCATTGTGGAAGGGAACTCTTGAGAAAACTTGAGGGAGTGTTAGCAGATTGGCAATTACTTGATGGACTGTCTTACAAATATAAGAAGACATTTTTCATTGTTGCTATACACATATTGATTTTGTAAATGGTTGCACGCAGGTCCTTTCAAGCCGACAGTCTGTTCTCATGACAGATATGGATCATGCACAAACCTGTTTAAAAAGTTGTAAATATGGGAGCATTGCCAGTGTTATCCTGAATGCATGCAGCTCACACAAACTTCTGGGTTGCAAGAGAACTTGTGACTTCATCTGATTGTACATTCTTGTTCATCATCAGTTCATAAAATGCAGCTTGTGATTCCCGAAGGTTGAGCATAATGAATCTGCTGAGTGTTCACTAGTGTTGCTATATTTGGATGGGGGAAAGAGCAGGTTATATTAAACAATCAGCTGACACTGTCTATAAGCAACATTAAGACTGTTATTGCCATATGTACAACAGAATCTCTTAATGTTTAACACTCCCAGCACACACAGTACAAAGAGCTGAAGATGAATATTCTCCAGACAAAAATGCTTCCAACTGCTGCCTGTTACAAATAATCCACACTACAGATGTGGAGTTTTCCCACCCAGAAAGCTATGCCTCTGTGATTCCATCCATATGACAGACGGATCTAAAGCATGCCGACTCCATGATGCCATTTGCTTTGCCAGTTATTGCAAACCTGCAACAGAAAAGGGTCACCAACAGCAAAATATGGTGGTCATGTCCGATCCTGCAATGTGGCTCAGTGCCAAAGCGATGAGTGGGTGCATTCACAGACAGTGAAAAAAAAAAAATCACTGAAGCTTGTGCTTTTGGTTGCTCATGGACGTTCATACTCCACTGCACTATCCAATGTTTTAGAGGGCTGACCATGGTCTCCATTATTATTGATCGTCTCACCTACATCAATGCTCATTGCTCATTTGCATGAAGTTTGGCTATGATTATTTTTATTATTTATAACACTTAAATGTACATTTTTTAATTATAACACTAAAACTGACTTTATTGCCTTGACATATGGGAGTGACGGCCAATTTAACATCTTTATCTTTTGACCAATGCAATCAATCTTTCGAATTTTTTTTGCTCCTTTTTTGGAAATTCGTTTGCTATTGGGGCAAATGGGAATGCAAAAAAATATATTTGTTGTAGTTTCCGTTCTTGACTATAGATATTTCCCAAGACAACCTATTTACCTATGACGACTTCTGCTTCTGAGAACCATTGAAATGTGAAAAGAGTCCATTAATCTTTCTTCAACAAGCTGCACAATGTGAAGGATCATATTTGAATATGCAAAAACACTTTGTAGTTCGATTATATCTGTGCATGTAAATATACTTCTGACGAGTGTTGCTTTTAGTTGGAGAGAAAGAAAAATGTGCATGTGAACATTTATATCCACCACATGAGAGAGAACATCACCTGTGATTGGTTACTGGAAAGGAATTAAACTTGGTGAATATGCCTTCTTTCTGTGTCTGTGTGTGTGTGTGTGTGTGTGTGTGTGTGTGTGTGTGTGTCTGTGTCTGTGTGTCTGTGTGGAGTCAAGCCAAGCTGTAGGAGAGTGGGAGAGTATCTTAAAAGCACATACATTACCATCATTTTCATTCTAACTGTTTATCATGAGCTCTGTAATAAAACCTTTATGCAGTCATCAAACAGAGGTCAAATAATTAGTCATACACAATAGAAGAGAAGTTTAGGAAAATAGATTGCAGCAATATGCTGAACTGATTTAACCCCTGAAGAGGAAG